TGTGTTCGAGAAAGAAGGGGAAAGAGAGGACGAGTGGGTGGGTGGTGAGGCCTGAGGTCTGTGAGCCAATAAGGGAGCATGGGACTCTGCACAAGCCTCCTGAACTAGGAGGAGGCCAGAACAGAAATGAGGTGCTGAAGTGTGGAGCCACAGAACGGGGGAGGGCAGAACCGCAGACAGGAGGCTGAGATTGACCTCCCGAGTGTGGGCCGGCCTCTCCTCCACCTCCTGCACCCCACACGGATGGTGCTCACTGTAGGACTGCCATAAAACAGAGACGCGCACCAGCAAGAAGCTTCAGCCCTCAGCATCCCATCCTCAGGACAGAATCACTCCTAAACATGTTGGAATACATCTGCTTAGAGCTTTTTATGTGTATATATAATATATGCATAATATGCAATTAGGAGCATGTGATTTCATAAGAACATTTTCAAACCAAAGTGAAATTGCACTGCAAATACAGTTTCATGACTTTCATCTGCATAAGTATTGCTACCTATAGATGGACCCTCAGATTTCATGTATTCCCTGAGGCTGGCCTGTAAACAGGACTTCTCATCCCCTTCCTTTATGGCCATCTTCTCATCTCACCTCACATTCCATTATGGCAGCCCCATCACTGTCTAGAAGTGCTGGCGGTAAACTGGTCATCTGGCCTGTTCACTCAGCATGTTCTCCTGAAGCATGGTTCTATGTCAGTAAGTGTTCTTATCCAGTATGGCAAAATGCTAAGGTAATTACAGACTCACATAAGTTGTAGGAAATAGTACAGAGATCCCTTATATCCTTTGCCCAGTTTCCCCCAATGGTAACACTGTGCAAAGCTCTAGGACTATCATCCCACCCATGTCAGCATGTGTAACCTCCCCCCACAGTCATGGCACTGAACACGGCCACCACCACAAGGTGTCTGGTATTGCATTGCCCTTTTACAGCCAGCTCCCCTCCCTCCTGCCCAGGCCCCCCTGCCTTGTATTTACGGCTGCATTTTATCCTGATTCATGGATATTCCACAGCTTTCTTTACCAGTCCTACTGGGTGTGTTTGCTGCTTACAGACTTTTTGTATGGTAAATAGCAGGACTTTCTAGCTAAGGCCTTGCATCTGTCCCAACTTGGCGCCTTGGCATAAATTCCTAGAATTGAAATTGCTGGGTCCAAGTGTGTGTACGTTTGAAAGATTTTTAGGGAAATTTCCAGGTTTCCCTTCCACTAGGCTCTGTCAGTTAGTGTCTTTCCCCACACAACTCAGCTTCAGGCTAGAGTCCATTTCTTCTTCTAAGCCCATGATACTCTCAAAACTCATAACTACAAGACTTACTGGGGAAATGCCCATCATCCATGCCTGACACAGAGCAGCTATTCAAGAAACGTTCGTGGAATTCAGCTCTGAGGCAAAAGAGAAGACCAGAAAGCAAGAGGAAGAAGGAAATGAGGTGGGTGGAAGTGGCAGCAGGACAAGAGGCATGAACCGCTTACTGGACTGCGTCCTCACCATCCTTGTCTACCCTGTCACAAACCCACACACCACATCCACCAGGAACTTGCTCTTCCTCAGTTGTACCAAACCGGCTTGCTTATTAAAAGGTTTTCTCCCTTGGCCGGGCGCGGTGGCTCAAGCCTGTAATCCCAGCACTTTGGGAGGCCGAGGCGGGTGGATCACGAGGTCAAGAGATCGAGACCATCCTGGTCAACATGGTGAAACCCCGTCTCTACTAAAAATACAAAAAATTAGCTGGGCATGGTGGTGCGTGCCTGTAATCCCAGCTACTCAGGAGGCTGAGGCAGGAGAATTGCCTGAACCCAGGAGACGGAGGTTGCGGTGAGCCGAGATCGTGCCATTGCACTCCAGCCTGGGTAACATGAGTGAAACTCCGTCTCAAAAAAAAAATAAATAAATAAATAAAAGGTTTTCTCCCAAGATTGCCATCCTGACCTCAAAAATAAATGCAGTTTGCTGCTTCTTGACTGTAGCCAGCCAAGAGGAGCCAGAGGGTAGGCCTGGGGCTTCCTCTGCCCGGACTTTAAGGTTCAGCAGCAAAGTCTTGCTGGCTACACCAAGCCCATCCTGCTGACACAGCTGGTCAGGACTGCCAAGGGTTAGGAAAAGCATTCTCAAGACAAAGGCTATTCATCTCTCGCCCTGCCTCTGGCCATCCTGTGGTTTTGGCCCGGAGAGGTGGGAGAAAGCATCAGACCCAGTCTTGGAATTTTTGGTTTCCTTTAGAAATTTACATTGTCTTGTGCAAGAACTGGTTTGTTGGCGCTGCCAAGTAAGACAATGAGTCCTAGGAGGGCTTCTCAAGGCAATGGTGACTTCATGTTTGGAATGAAACAGCAAGATAAAGTATAGCTCAGAGGGTATTTGTTCGGTGAGTCTATTTTTAAAACTCCACTAAAATTGTACCTCCCAAGTAAGGCCAAGTGTTAGCCATCCGTCATATGCTCAGCTGTGTTATGCCTGTCTGATTGCCTGTCCCACTCAGGGCATTCAGCATGGCAAGCAGTTGTGCGGTTCAAGGAAGGAGCACCGGCCTTCGGTCCTGACTCTGCCACCTCAAGCAGCTGTAACTAGAGCAACTCATGTCACTCTTTGGGGGCTCATTTTCTTTTCTGCGAAATGGGATTAATTATACTCATCTTTCAGGTTTTGTCAAGCCCAATTTCTTTTATTATTTCTCCTAATTACTGACTCATAAAATAGCAAAAACCACAAAACACAACTAAATTGCAACAGGCTGTACTTAACTAACAGACTTTAGAAAGGAAAGCTCATTGTGTGCTTAGAGAAAAGCTTTCAGGAGTTTGAGAAAACTTCCAGGAGATGGTGAAACTTGATCTGAGCCCTGAGAGGTCTGGAAAGGAAGAGTGGAGCAGGGAATCTTTTCAAACAAAGGGAAAGGTGGGGGTAGGAACAAGACTAGAGAGCCTGGGAGATGGTGAGGAGCGCTGGTACTGAGAAAATACAGTGAAGGTAATGACCACACCTGTGTTTTGCCCAGCGCTTCATCATTTTTGGAGACGTCTCTCCTTTGCCCACAGTAGCCTGAGCTGGGCAGGGCATTTAAACAGAAGTTGGATTTAGCTTTCGGTCCTTACTCTATCACCTCAAGCAGCTGTAACTAGGGCAACTCATTTCACTCTTTGGGTGACTTTTCACAAAAAGTCACCAGCCTAGGATGTAGCTGAGCCTGGCCTGGGTTCTAGGTCACCTGCTCCCTAGCCTGTGTCTGCTGCCCCCGCAAAAGGAGCATTTAAGGTGCCGATGAGGAGAGATGGCATGGTGGGAAAGATAAACACTCAGGAGCAACCGCGTATTGCTTTAAGAGTAGACAGACTCAAAATGAAAAAAAAAAAAATTCTTCAACTCTAAAGCTAAAAAATGAGATCAGAAATTTCAAAGACAAAAGCCACAAATGGAGAAAACAGTACTTCAAGCTCCACATTTGGGAACCATTAGCACAGAGGTCCTGGCTGATTGCTCTTTGCTGCCCAGGAAGCCAGGAGAGATGCCGTACCTGAAGCACAGTGACTGGCCTAAAACAAGGGCAAGGCCTTTCCTGTTAAAGACGTTCTGGCCCAACTCAGACTCATTCTCAGGCCTGCATATGCTCACACGTATAAACATATACACACGCACACATGTGGGAGGAAGGGGCACAGAACCTGGAGTCCAGTCCAGGTTGTACAGATGCTAGGCTCATATTTCTTATTTTGTACACTAGTAGGATCCCTTCCCCTATCTATGGGAAGCTCCAGCCTGAGGTTCTCCATTTGCCAGCTGTATCATGCATGGGACAGGTCAGTTGTCCTGTCTGAGTCTCGGTCTCCTGGGCTGTAGCCAGGGAGAAATAATGCCTACTACACAGGGCTGTGGGGACAGCCCAGACCTTTATAAACCTAAGAAAGAGAAGCTGTTAGGAACTGTTCACGACATTCACAGCAAGGCAACCCTATCTCCTAGGAAGACATTGGTCCCAGTACAGGGAGCAGGACACTTGTTTCCAGAGGCTTCCAGAGTAACTCGGAGCAAACCACTTACCTTTCTTGGAATCAGTCCCTAGAAGAAGAGGCTGTCCCAGACCCTTCCTCCCAGGAAATGATTCATTCTGTCAGCAAACATAGACTAGGGGGCCTGCTGAGGGAGGCCGGTACAACCCACTACTGCTCATGGGCTGTGCAGGGCCTGGCTGTGGGCACAGGCCTGTAACTGCAGCACAAGCTGAGATCTGGACAAAGGGCAGAGGAAGCTGAGAGTCCTTCCCCTGGGTAGGGGCTTGAGGGGCCCAGGAGGACTCTCCAGAAGAGGTGACATTTCAACAAGGCCTTGAAAGTCGTATATGTATTTTCCAGAGGGAGAGTGGGGAGGGGTGAGGCTGACATCCTGTGATGGGCAGGCCCACAGGTGGGAAGGAGGAGAAGATGGGCAGAGAGCTTGTGCTGTGGCGCACAGTGGCCTGGCCATGAGAGGGGTGCAGGACGGAGCACAGAGGGTGGGCTGGACAGGCTGGGCAGGGTGCTGATTGACAGCTGCAGGGCAGCTCTGCAGGCATGGGTAATTGCATGGGTCATTGTCACACACATCTAGAGACAGGAGGGATCTGTATGAATCTGGCTTTTTCCATGGCTCTGAAAACAGTCTTCTTTCTTTCCCTTGCTGAAATCCTGCAGTCTGCTCCCATGTACCAGTACCTGGATAGGAAAATGTTCAAGGAAGCCTACCAGATTGCTTGCTTGGGTGTGACAGACACTGATTGGCGCGAGCTGGCCATGGAAGCACTAGAAGGTTTAGATTTTGAAACATCAAAGAAGGTAAGCATCTAGTCAGCAGGAGCTGGAGTCTGGTCCTTGAGGGGTCCCTTAAGAAGGCAGACGGGGATCCAGGTGCGTGGAGAGGCCATAGACTGCAGCAGCCTCTGGAGTGAGGCTGACCTGGGCTTGGATCTCAGCTCAGCCACCTCCTCACTGTGGGCCTGGGCAGGTGACACCTTTTCTAAGACTGCTTCTCTGTAGACGTAGGGAGATGATAGGCCTCATCCTCACAAAGCTGTGAGGATCGAGTGGGAAGATGCCTATCAAGCCTGACTCAGGAGCAGCATCTCATAGATTCTGGCTGTCACTCTTATTAGCTGTTATCTATGGGAAGCACCTGGCTAGTAGCCTGGCACATCAGAGGCACTCCGTAAATGGTGGCTTTTCTTATCAGTGTAATCACTGGCCATGTATTACACAATGCTGCTTTCCTTAGCATCCGCCAGCTAAGGTGGGAGAGATGGTCAGGGTCTCCGATTCTGACAGCAATGTGGGCACTTCCCATGTACCTTCATGGCGGGATTCATGGACTTGATTCGTTGTGTCCTTTCCTGGCCTAGTCTATGAAAACTAAGAGATGGCTGAAAACATCTGACCCCTTTCTGCACATGAGGAAAAGCCCAGGTATGTTCCTGAGCTGTGTTTCCGTCTAGAACCTGAGATGGAGGAAGGAATGGCTTCCACCCCCCTCTCCCCTACCCCTTCCCTCTTTATCTCCCTATAGTCAATCAGTGAGCTGCTTATTTTGTCCATACTACTGGGTGATATTGAAGGAGTGGCAAAGAGGGATGTGATGCCTGCCTCGGGTTAGGTCAAGACTTGTAGGCGTGAAGAGAACGGAGACTGGACCAGACCAGGACTCAGAAGCCTGGCTGAGAACCAGCTGCCACGTAAGGGGCTCTGGGACCTCAGGCCAGCTGCTTCCCTCGGAGCCCCAGTCCTCCCAGTTGTGAAATGGGGGTGGTGAGAACGCCTGCGGCAGTCCTGAGTCTTCACTGAGACGTTGTAAAGGGGAATTTAAAGCAGGGATGGTTGTACAGATGCTAGCCATTACTAAACAAGGGAAGTGATGGTTGTGTAACAATGATCTAGATTATATTTTCAGATGTCCTCAGTGTAGTCAAGTGGAGATGGAGGAGGCTGTAAGACTTGAGAGGAGGGAGGAGGCATCTCCCTGGAGGGAGCTTCCCTCTCCTGCCCCACCCAGAAGTGCCAGCAGGGAGTAGGAAGAAGACAAATCCTTAGAACAGAAAGGATTGTAATAAAGCCACAAGGTTTTATATAAGTGTTTATTGATTCATACACACACACACACACACACACACACACACACACACACACACACATTTGTTTAAATATTGATACGGGGACTCACTATGTTGCCTAGGCTGCTGGAACTCCTGGGCTTAAGCAGTCCTCTTGCCTCAGCTTCCCAAAGTGCTGGGATTACAGGTATAACCCACCACACCTGGCCAGATTTATTATATATATGGTGTATACCTGTTGTGTACAACATGATGTTCTGAAAAATCTGCATGATGTTGAAGATAGGCTAGAAGTTGCTATTTCATCTAAATCCCGAATTCCTGGCCTTTCTTTCCTCTGTGCCAGGCACTCAGGCTCACCAGCTTGTACAGGGTGGTTCCTAGTGATGGACTGCCATCCCCACTAGATGGCAGAGAAGAGCTGCTGAGCTCCCCCCAGGCCCTGAGCAGAGCTTCAGGTGCCTCCCTGTTCCCAGGCTGCCCTCTGCTGAGCCCATTCAGAGGCCTTGTGACTCTGACCAAGCACCCTGACCCTGCAGGATGTGTCAGTGTTGAAAGCATTCAGAAACAGATTTCTTAGTGGACAAATTCTAGACTCCAGCACAGCTGAGCTATAGCTAGAAAGACCATTGAAAGGGTGTCACTAGCAGGCCCCTTTCCACAAAGAAGGTGGCTGGAGCCCAGAGGCAGGGAAGAAATAGGCTCAGAGCAAGGACTGAGACCCCGAACGCTCCTTTCCCTCTTGGCCACTGTGCTGGGCTTTGCGGGTTGCCCTCTCTAGGTGCTTTAAGGAAACCCAGAGCTAGAGGGTGGTGTGTAAAACCTGCAGCTTGGGGCATAGGCAGTTTTAGCCCTCTGTCCTTAGGCCCATGTGATGACAACATTGCCCTTTTCTACGGATTCCTCTTCACAAACACTTGTTTGCCAGGTTCCGACTCTGATGCCTCACTTGACACTGCCTCCTGCCCCTGCCCATGCTCAGATGGTTCATCCGTGTTCTCCAGGCATCTGCTTCATACTCAGAGAGCTCTTAGCTGGAGGAGGTGTCATGATCTGTTGAATTGGCCAGCCTCCCCTGTTAGAATGTGGGCCTTTGAATTGTGGAGGGGGACAGGGGCCAAGACATGTTTCTCCCTGGGTCCTCAGCCTCTGACAGGAAGCCGGGCCTGTGGGATGAAAAGATGAAGTCACATTTCGGCGATCCACAAGTAGCCAGAGGCTGGGGCCTCACTCATCTCCCGAGGTCTTTTTAGGAGGGAGGATGCCGTGCCACTGAGGGTTGCTCTGCACATTTGATTCAAAGGGCTCCAGAGCCACTGCCTCCTTCAGGCACAGGTCAGCCAGTTCTGAATGGGGCAACGTAAAGAAGTACAGCTGCTAGAAATGGTGACAGCAAAGCCACCTGAAAATGGCCTGACCTGGTGGCTGGTGCTCCTCCATACCCTGTGCAGAACCTGAAAGCCACAATGCTAGCTTAGCTAACAGCAGTCTGCCTGTTCCTCAGAAACTTCTAGAAGTCCATGAGTTAAAGTCTCTGGTTTTACTGTGAGTTCAAGGCAAGGGCTGCCATTAGAGGATTTTGCCTTTATGTAGAGTTTGCCTTCCATGGACTTGGGATTCATTCCCTTCCCCTCCACCTTCTTCCGAATCTCTCTTTATGCCCTCTAAGCTTCCCCTCCTCTGCTCCCTCTGCAGTACCGGGGGCTCTGGGTCCCCTGTGTCTGTGGCACCACTGGGTAGGCATAGCTGTCCCCTGCATTCTACCCATGTCGCCAAGATGTGCAGGCAGCCTCAGCAGTCTGTGCATCTCGCCCGCTCCTGCTCTGATGCTGCCTGCACCCCAAACCCAGAGGGTCCGACCAGCTTGTTCTTCTTTGGGTCAAGAGTCTCCCAAAGAGGCACCGCCACAGACTGTGGCATCACGGTTTTGTTTTACGTGATCCCAAAATGACTGATGCAACTGGGTTGCCTGCTATTCTTTGCATGGTCCCGTCCCAGGGATAAAGCCGTGCCTCACTGGGTGGTATAATCCCTGCCATGATGCGTAACCCGTGCTTGCTCTCTCCTCTCCTTACTGGCTCACTGTCTAGATAGAGCTGACTTCCCAGCCCCAGCCGGTCACCCAGTTTTGAAGCCAAGAAGGCGGCTGATTTGATTCTTTATTGCTTCTCCACAGGCCTTCATCAGAGTACAAGACCTCCGATACTTAGAGCTCATCAGCAGCATTGAGGTAAAAGACGAAGCATTCTTCCTTCCAAAGAAGGCATACTTGGGGTTCATGTTTTAGCGGGAACCCTTCTAGCAGGCAAGAGCCCTGAGAAGATGGAGTAAATCTCACTGGCATCCAGACCATAGCCTTGCTGCGGTGACAGAGTGGCCGCACAGGGGAGACAGCAGCGGGAAGTGTGAGCTGTCGCATGGCAGCTGGGTGAGGCACATGAGTTCCACATCTCTCCAGGCTTGGGTTTCTTGTCTGTGAAAAGGGATGGGACGGGACCTTTGTCGCAGGCTGCCATGAGGATTCAGTAGGTTCTCGGGAACTGGTTTGCATCCTCATGGTGGCAGATAGCTAGTCACCATCCTCCGAGACACACAAGTCATCTGCTAGTGTTGCAGGAGTTTCCCAAATGCACATGAGGTGAGCTCCACCCCCAGAAATGGACCTGGGGAGTGAGGCCCACGGTTCTGAACTGAGTGCCTCAGAGCTCTGGAGCAACCTCCAGCCTTGCTGTTCCTGGCTGAGAATACTGGCCTTGTCATCCCAACCCAATAGGCCTGCAGTGGGAAAGGAAGCTGGTTGTAGGTTCACCATTTGCTAGGTGGTGGGAGACACTGTGCTATTTTTTAATTTTTTGAAACAGGGTCTCACTCTGTTCCCCAGGCTGGAGTACAGCAGCACGATCATAGCTTACTGCAGCCTAGACCTCCCAGACTCAAATGATCCTCCCACCTCAGCCTCCCAAGTAGCTGGGATCACATGCACATGCCATCCGCCTTATTAATTTTCTGTACTTTTTGCACAGTCAGGGTTTTGCCATGTTGCCCAGGCCGGTTTCAAATTCCTCGGCTCAAGCCGTTAGCCCACCTTAGCCTCCCAAAGTGTTAGCGTTACAGACTTGAGCTACCACGCCCGGCCTTTGGACACTGTTCGTAATTTCTGTGTATCTTAATGCTGTCTGGCTGTGTGTAAAAAGCTGTACACATTTTTTTCTCCTGAACAGATTTATCGGAGGGTATGGGAATGTGAGATACATTTGAATTCCCGGTTGGCAACTGAGGAAATCAGCAAATGTCTTGTCTCTCATTCAGTTGTGCGTAATAAACACCTGTCATGGGTCAACCCTTGTGCCGAGCTCAGTGGGCACAGAGCTGAGGAGAGAGACGCCTGCAGGAGCTCACAGCCCGCTGAGCCTCATAAGCTGCCCTGTGTTGAGTCTGCTGTGTGCCCCACGCGTGACCCATGCGGGTGCTGTTGTAGATCCTCAGGTTAACTGGATGAGGCAGGTCCTGTTGCTCTCCATATTCCATGCAGGAGGAAGCTAAGGCTCAGTGAGGCTATGCCATATTCCCACGGGTCCATAGCCAAAAGCTTAGTGGATTTCAAGCCCAGGCTGTTTTCTAAGCTCATGTTGTCAGCCACGTACCCTCCCCACCTGCGAGTCAAGAGGGGTGTCTGTGTGTTCTGGGGTTTACCTACCTGCGTGCTAATGGGCTTGTTCAGAGCCATTGCCCGAAATGCCCAGTGCTCCTGACTCTCCCTTGTAAATCAGCTGGCTGGGATCCAGGGGTCTTCACCTGAAACCAAGGAGGATAATTTTTCTGTCTACAAAAGTAACTGGGTGCTGTGGGGTCTAACTATTATTAGTCACTTACCAAGGTCAAAATGTCTGCTGCTCCTCATGTGCTATGAGCTGGGAAGTAGGTTAAACTCCTAAGATTGTCTCTTAAAAAAAAAAAACGAAGTGCCTTCAAGTGAGCTCCACGTTGACTGCCTGCGGCCTTAGTTGCACACATCTGGGTGCTCAGCATAATTGCAGAGAACTGTGGATCCTCAGGAGGTACCTTTTGGATAGGGAGATGTCCCTGTCCTGCTGACAGGGGGAAAGAACCTGCCCATGGTGACGTGTACTTGGCGAGTACGATGGATTGTTTTTATTCATTATGGTGACATCCTGGACTCATTTTCATGCCTAGTAAAACTGTTTTTGTTTGGTTTGGTTTGGTGTGGTTTGGGTTTTTTGCAGGGATAGTCTTGCTATATTGACCAGGCTGGTTTTGAAGTCCTGGGTTCATGTGATCCTCTTGCCACAGCCTCCCAAAGTGTAGGGATCACAGGCATCAGTCATCATGTCCCTCCAAAATATTATATCTCACTGCAAGATTTTAATTCATTTTCAACTACTAGGAGCTAGTCTGTCTGATGAGCCTGAGCGTGTGCAGGTTTTTAGAATGATGATTTCTGTCAGTGTGGAAGCATGTTGCCTCCAGCTGTTAAAACTTTCACCAGCTTGTCTAAGAGCTTGATTCAATGTCTCATCGTCCTCTGATATGCTACTCTTGCTAGAAAACAAGCAAAAGGAAACTGCTGGGGCTCAGGGCTTGGGTGCTAATGACTGTTTCCAAATACTCAAGCTGTAGACAAGTGAATGTTTCCTGACACAGAAGGAAGAAGTGTGCAGGATACTCCTCTTTATCCTCAGTTCTGCTAAGGGGTGTGTGTGTGTGTGTGTGTGTGTGTGTGTGTGTGTGTGTGTGTATTGTTGGGGACATCACTTGCTTCAGAAGACAGTATTGTGTGATACAAGGAATATCTGGAGTCAAACAGAACTGTGTCCTAATGCCAGCTCTGTCTGACCCTGACCTGTTCCTCCTCTTGTGTCTCAGCGTCCTTCATTCTAATACTTGGGTAGTGAGACCTATCCTGAGGGTCACTGAGAGGAATAAAGGGGCCATGTGTGTATAAGGTATATACCCAGAACCTAGTGGATGTCAGCATGTGGGATTTCTTACCTTCTCTTTAGAAGTAGGGACACAGTAAGACTTGTCATCCTATCTTATTGATCTCTCTCTTGGGCGAAACCCTAAACATTCTCCTGCTCTGTTATCCTCATGAGCCACAACTCAGCCAAACCAGGCCTGTGGATTTGGGAGATCCTCAGGGGTCTCAAAAGAGTCAGGAGCACACGCTGTCCAGACTATTCTGTCTTAGCCTTGGAATACACAGGAAAACAACCCTGAGGAATTTCCATTAAACAAACAAAGGTTTTCATCTTTTTTTGATCTTTGCTTGTCTGGTAAAAACCTGCTTTTGTTGTCAGGCGTTCCCAGCGGAAACCTAGGGAGAGACGCAACAGCCAGGAGCAAGCCCAGGTTCCAGTAGGAAGGCCCAGGGGGCTCACTGGAAATAGCCACATGTAACCTTTGTGAAGGCTGCTTCCTGCCCATGGCTGCAGAGGCCATTTCCTGTGCTTCTAATTTTTCCAGGAGAGGAAGAAGCGGGGAGAGACCAACAATGACCTGTTTCTGGCAGATGTGTTTTCCTACGAGGGGAAGTTCCATGAGGCCGCCAAACTGTACAAGAGGAGTGGGCAGGAGAACCTCGCACTTGAAATGTACACCGATCTCCGCATGTTTGAGTATGCTAAGGTAATCCACCCCATCCCGGGCCCAAGCTCTGGCTTGGAGCCCACTGGTGTTCCCACCTGCAGTGTCCAAGTTGTTTCCCCCAAGAGTGTTGCAGAAGAAAACTAGCAATGGCCTCAGAAAGGATGTGGGGAAACGGGTAAACAAAGGACCCCTCTACAGCCACTGGTTGAAACTCACCTAAAACTGACCTTTAAGGCTGACACCAAAGGGGCAGAGTATTGCAGTTCAGACCTTCGTCAGCAGCAGAGATGGATGTCTGTGGGTCTGCACCAGCACGATCCCTTCATTGAGTCGAGGGCTCAGGGCTTCAGGGCAGTCTCCCACAAATTCTCTCAATCCTTGTCAGGAGCCGCTAAGAATCGGTGTCTTCAGGTGGGAGCCGGTGCTGCCAGTCATACGGGACAATGTGGTGCACGCCAGCCACGTTTCCCTAAGTGCCTGCCAATTGTCCAGGGCTTCGCACTGGGCTTCTGGAAAGTCAGGCAGAGCCTCCGCCCTCCCGTGTTAGTCCTGCGTGCCTCACACCTGGCAGCTGCAGAGTGGCTAGTATGTGGTTGCAGTGGGTGATGGCAGAGATTCCCTTTTGCGTTGGGATAGCCCCCATGAACCCTAGTCCCCAGCAGAGCTGGGCCTTTGAAGGCAGGTGTGGGAGAGGAGCGTTCCAGACCGGGCTCCTGATGGCTTCTGTGGGAACGAGTTGTACTACGGAGCCCAGATCAGTCAAGACATTTGCAGTTCAGTCTAAGCAAGGTTCAAAAAGGCTTGGGTGCATTGAGCAATGATTTTCTTCCTTCCACAGAGGGGCTTTGTTAACCTGCCTTTTCTGGGAGTCTCAGAAGTGGCTCTCAGTATGTGATGGTGACTCATTAGCCACAACCCATGAGTGGCTACTAATGGTAATTCTCCAGCTCACAAGTTCAGGATGGAAAGTCTTCCCCACTTTTGTCTGCTTTTCTATTCCTGAAGATGGCTGTGCTCTTCCACTATCTGTTTGATCCTGGGGCTGAAGGTGATGTTGCCCGGGACTTATTGCTCATCGGCAGCTGGACGAGCTTCTGGGCGCCAGCCTGTCTTTTCACCTTAGTGATTTCTTCACTTTGTACCTGAGACCCAGGGAGTTCAGGCACCCTCTGCTGTTTCTCTGTCACCTTTTCTGCACTCTCCCACACCCCACCACAGACAAGTAGAAGATTTCATAACACATCCGTACTGAGATCACCTGAGGCAGTGCATCTCTGCTTCTGGGGATAACAAAATTTTAACTCAGGATGAACCCTTAAGTGATCAAAACCCTGGGGGTAGAATTTAGGCTTAGGGATCTCCGAAGCTTCCTCATGGAGGCCGTTGTGGTGCAGTAGAAAATGCCTGGCCAGGCCGGGCGTGGGGGTTCAAGCCTGTAATCCTAACACTTTGGGAGGATGAAGTGCGTAGATTGCTTGAGCTCAGGAGGTTGAGACCAGCCTGGGGAACATCTGCTGGTGCTCAGAAGTGGCTGACCCCACTTCTGCCCCTGCTCTAAGGCCTCTGCTTATACTCTGGTGGGCTTCATGTGCCCACAGCCTCTCACTAGAACTGTAGCCCATTTACACACTCCATCTGCTCCATCTCTCTATGAAGGTAAATACTCTGGGACTTGTTTTTGGGTTTAGTTTTTGATCTTTATTCCAAAAATGCAAGAAATTCTCTACCAAAAATGCAAAAAGTTAGCTGGTTCCTATATTCCCAGCTCCTGAGAGGGAGACTGAGGTGGGAGGATTGCTTGAGCCCCAGAGGTAGAGGTTGCAATGAGCCAAGATCGCACCACTGCCCTCCAGCCTGGGGAACAGAGCAAGACCCATGTCAAAGATAAATAAGAAAATGCCTAGCCTTGGTGCCCCAGAGCTGGTGTGCGTGTGGGTTCTTCCTGTGGGGTGACCTGGAGAAAGGCTCTTCAGTTTTCCAAGCTTCCCTTTCCTTCTCAGATGGTAATAGCCACAGCTCAGTTAAGCCTTGAGATTTGCACAGAATAATGTATAGGAAAGCATATTACAAATGCCAAGCTGTAGAAAGATTAAGGAGATGAGAGGTGCCACATGTGACCACAGAGTGGATCTTCAGACCTCTCTCCTTGGCTGGCCCCACTTTTGCCCCTGCTCTGAGGCCCCTCCTTTCACTCTGGTGGGTTTTCTGTGCCCACAGCCTCTCACTGGAACTGCAGCCCATTTATATATTCCATCTGCTCCGTCTTCTAGGAAGGTAAATACTCTGGGACTTGTTTTTGGTTTTAGTTTTTGATCACTATTCCAAGTAGGTTGGTTCCATTTCAATCCCCCCTGCCCCCACCCAGTAGTCTGAATTTGAGAAATGTGTACATACACATTATGTGGGGGGTGGGGGAGATCCAGTGCTGATTAACATGGCATGTTTTTGTTTACTTGAAAATTGCTTCCCAAGATTCAATCTGGTTTTCAGAAAATTTTTAAATTACATTCCCACGTACAAATAAATTGTATGCTTTCCGGATAAGTGACATGTTTATATGGTGATAAAGGGAATTATAATGCTCTTAACTCTTATGTAGTATGTTCTTATCAAAATCACCAAGCATGAGAACAC